AGTTGAAAAATGGATATTGTGAGTACTTTTGGGTTGATTCCGAGATTTTTTCGAGTAAAGTTGTCAAAATGATGATTTTTGTATGAATAATGATTGATAAAAAATCAATCGTTGCGATTCGATGAGATGACCGTGGTTTCTCTCATTAGCTAACCCATTATGTGGTCATGTGGCTAGGGGCAACCGAATGTTTGCAAAGGTTCACAAAGCACCGTGGACCAATATAGCCTTTGAGTGTCACCATTCTCATATTTTGCTTTTCGTTATACTTATGTGAGATCTTATGATTATTTTGAAATGTCTATTTTCTAGTTTTGATTATGGATAACTGAAATGGGATCAAAAAACAGGGGGAGGGTTTACTTAGGCAAATGCTACTAATTTCTCTAGCAACTGTAGATCTTTTCCAAAAGCACTAAGTCTTTGCACGCACTCTCGTTGTCATAGTTAGTTCAATAGAATTCTATTATCATCTCTTCACGTAAAACATGTGATGAAGTCCTCATCATAGAAACTACGTAGTTGAAGTGCAACCAATATAACCTGTGTTTCTAAGTTAGATTATTGAAAGGAATAGTTGGAATATTTTCTAATTTATGTTACTAGAAAAGTTAAACAGTTGAGCGCAAATGCTGCATTCCTAAGAATTTGAGTTACTCATTTATCCATGTCAAGTGTTCGTATCATATCCATTGTCAAGTATCTGTTAAGATTACTTCGTGGAGTCGAGTGTGATATGAGATACCATACCTAAGGGAATAAACTGGTCGACTAGGCCGAACGAGTCGTCTGGTCGAGTAGAATCACAGGAAGGCCGACGGTGGTCGTACATCACCACTCGGTCTGGAAGACAGCATAAGGGGTACAAGGCAGCAAGTCAAGCCAGACTCTCGGATGGCCTGATAGAAATTCGACCTGTAGGCACGACTGGTTGTGTGATCGACCCGAAGGAACAACACTAGGTCCAGGACAATCAATGTTCTACCTCGGCAGACCTCGAGCGGGTCGCACTATTAAGTAGCCTAATATGAAGGATTAAGGGATAAGAATGAACATGTCATAATTAGTGCTACACGTGACACTACCTAATTGATCCACTCTGTAACCACCTCTGACGGTGGGCAGTGCAAATTGTATTATCGGACTGCTCGAGCAACTTGGGCGCACCGGCTTCTAGAAGCAGGTACCTCACCCCTATAAATAAAGGTGAGATGTGTACTTTTAGCTCATCACATTCTATATTCTCTATACTTTATGCACTTTATCATCTTCTACAAGTGCTGATTTAAGCATTAGAGACTTTTCAGTGGAAAACTCCTCAAGTGTGAACTTTTTGCAGGTCTAAAGGCGTTCAACCGGCGAAGAAGCTCAAGAGCAGGCCGATTCCAGTTGGTCGGGGGTCTTTACGTACCAGAGTGCATGTCATGTTGCAATGAGCATATTTCGTAACTTATTCAGCTAGGTTTCTGATGGAGAATAGATTTAATTAATTATTTATTTCTTTTATTTTAATTATTATTATTGGTATTCTAAATTTGTTAGGAAACTTATTTATTTATTAGTTTAATAAAATCCTTGTCTTGTTGGACATGATAGAAATTTAAGGCTTGAGAAGTCTTATTTAAAGAGTACTCTTCCTTTGTTCTTTTCAGTTGATTTTGAATAAGAATATCGTGTTAGAGATAGAAATCTCTTTTATCTTCTCATACTCGTATGTTTCCCTACATCAGTTGGTATCGGAAGTCAGCAAGATTCACGGTACTTACGTGAAGACGAGATGCTGCAGACGACAGGCATGACACCGTCATCTACAACCTGAGCCACCAGGCCGAGGGATTTGGCCGCCGCCTCGAGATGATGGGCCATTGGATTGCGAATCTGTCTGCGGAGATTGGGACATACGTATAACTCTCTAGTCTCTATACCATGGTTCGGGACGAGCAAGTGAACCGTGACTTGGCCTGCTGAGGAGGTCGCGAAGGTTATCGCGGAGGCCGTGGCGGAAGAGGGCCTGGCGGGGTGCCCCGTCAACGTACGCCACCACCGAAGCACGGTGAGGATGACGGCGAAGAGACGTTGTCGGAGGTCAACCCCTTCGGCTTCCGACAGGCTTAACAAGACGATGAATGTTTCGGCGACCACCGATGGGAGGCCGCGTTTCGCGTCGACATACCTGAGGTCTCCGGCGGCTTAGACGCGTCGGAGTACTTGGATTAGATTATTACGGTCGAGACCATCCTCGACTATTCAAGAGCCCGCGTGGATGAAAGAGGCCTCAATCACAGACGTCGAGATTGTATTTCCCATGACGGTCCTCGTCGATTTCTTCGATCGAGAGTCGCTCGTCAAATCTGCTTCTACTTCGCTCAATTCAAAGGGTATCAATTAAAGTTTGAGAGTTACAGTTTAGGGTGTCAGGAACAAAAGTCAACGATGGAGGCTTCTATAGCTACAACGGAATCATGTCATGTCATGTCATGTTTGCGGTGAACCGTTGTGTGTGGGCCGTATTGACGACGACTGGATTGCGTCGGATTCGAATGCGAATACTTTTCGATAGAGGGAGAATAATGAATAACAGATTTAATTAATTATTTATTTCCTTTATTTTGATTATTATAATTATTAGTGGTAATTTGCTAGAAAACTTATTTGTTTATTACTTTATTAGAATCTTTGTTTTGTTGGACAAGTAGAAATAGGATTTGAGGACTCTTATTTAAATAGTCCTCTTCTTTTGTTCTCTTGAGTGATTTTAGCAGTTTTGCTATGAAGCCAACAGTTGGATCCATAGTGGAGCCAACCTTATATATACAACAAGTAAGTTATACCATACAACAAGTAAACTTCTATATACAACAAGTAAACCATACCATATTAATAAAATTATTAATATTATTAAAGTAATAAGTGAATATGGTATAATTTACTTGTTGTATATAGAAGGTTGGCTCCACTATGGATCCAACTGTTGGCTTAATAGCAAAACTGGTGATTTTGAATAAAAATATCATGTTTGAGATAGAAATATTTTTATCTTTAGCTCCATAAAATTTTACAGGACATCTCTGACTTAATTCAATATACTGTCAAGTTCTTACCATTTTGTGGAGCCACTCTTGATGGTATGGTTGTCGTGGACTAGCAATCCTGCTTCATCTGAAGGTATGAATATCGACTCATGTTCAAGTCCTATTAGTGATTAGAAAGAAAGCTCTTTCAATTGGAATTTTGAATTTGGAATTCCAGCTGGATCTTCATAATATTGCTCATGCGTTTTAGGATAAGAAAGTTCATTCTTCTGCAAAGAGGCAATAGGAGTCATCAGCTAGTGTGCTTTTGTTTATGCAAATAGTATTAATAAGGTTGAACCAGATGTCAATTATGCTCAATATCTTCATGCCCATCATTAAGTCCTTTTGGGGCTGAAACCCTAGCTTGTTAATTACTAAAATTTAAGTAGGCATGATGATATGAACCAATACAGTAATAAGGTGTACTGTTTTATGGTATTGAATGAAAATCAGGGTGTCATTTGGGTTTCCCTGCAGTCATATTCATTATCCTTCATGCATTTTTTGGGTTAGCATTTTAATGAATTTCATAGATGAAAAATGTGAAGAAGACCATAATTTTGAGGCACAATATTTGTCCCCTTACCTGAAAATGATGTTTGTAGTTAGTTTCCCCTCCCAAAGTACATATACAAAATTCATTACACTACTTTCCCATACACATTATCTTCCTGTTCAACTTTCGAACTGCATTTGATCCTAATACTCCCCCATTATAATTATAAAACCCAAAGTGCATTTCCTCGAATATCTGCTTAGAAACTTTCAAACGTCATCTTTATCTCTCTTTTCAAGGTGTACTGTTGTGAGAAGCTTGGGCAACCAAAATAACTAGCTTTTTGGACCAATTATATAGATGCTTTTCAATAGCAATGTAGCATCCACCTGATTCTGGTTTTTATTCTGATGTAATCCTATTTATAAGAACAGAAAACTGGAAATTACCGATTTCCGTGTCAGGTGTCTCAAATTGGGCCGAATAATAGTTGTGGGACCTTCACGAGATGTAGAGTCAACTTCACATATATACTAGGATAATGAACCTTCATATAGCTTATATGGGGATAAGTTGGCTTGGTCTGTAAAGAAAACTAAGTATTTCCAAACGTATCCACGTGGAAGAAAAGGGGTTTTAGAAACATGTTCAATCCGGTTGACTTCTGTACTTTCTTGAGTTCCTCTGCTTGTTTTTGTATCGACACTTGCTCTGTTTAGCTGGCTAGTTTGAATCTTATCAGCTATTTTAGGAAAGTCTGAACTGTACCACAATTTCTGAATGACCAGCAGTTCTACTTTTCCTTTTGGACAAAAAGGGTGTTTCTTTTCTTCTCATTCTAAATAACAACCTAGGTCTAAGATATATATACTTCCAATGTAAAAAACATCAACCATGGTTCTCAAAAAAGAAATAACAGTTCAATGCAAGGATTGAACATATGTTATGAATTTTTTCAAATGAATAATGATTTTGTTTGAATTTTATAGTGCAATCAATCAAGGTAGACTGGGAAGAATGCCCGTACAAAAAGGTAGCAAAGGTAAGCATGCCAAATTTGACCGCATGCAACTTACGGTGGATTTTTGGTGTTAGATGATGCAGTAATGTTTCAACAATTTTTTCGTCTACTTTTGGCAAACTGTGCAGATTCCAAAGGAAAATAATTTTGGCACGGTACATTTAGCGGTGAAGGTACCTTGATCTCTGTGTTCGGATTCAGCCGATGGTAAGGTTCCCCCTTTAGTTTTTTATATCGTTCTATGACGGATTTCATGCTGATACAAAGAAAAAGATAAGAGAATAAAGATCAAAAGGAAGGAACAGTTATATGTGATGTCATGGTAAATTTCATGCTTAAATTACTGAAGCTATAGTTATAGTGTACTTTTAACTGCAAATATTTCATTCTTCACTTTTTTCATATTGGCCTGTTAAATATTTTAGAGTGAGCGGCTGACGGCCATAAACATTGATAAATCCAGGTCCGGCGTAATAGCAGAACAAAAATAAAATGACCAAAACTATACCATTATCATGAAATTATATACTTGAATTTGAGAATATTAAAAGATTCGACATTTGAGAGAGAAAAATCCAAATAAAATCAGCTTAACTGCCTTTATTTCAGGGATTCATTTGTTGCTCAAAAAAATGGCAAAGAGGAGAGACATTTGAACTTACTGAGTTTTTCGTATGGAAAGTGTAAATGTAGCACAATGTAGCACAATGTAGCATGTTAAATTTCATGCTTAAATTGAATGTTATAGTCTAAGTGTAGAACATATTTTAAGTGAAATAAATTCCTAAATCTACATACAGAATGATTTCGTCGAAATGAATTTCTGTGCTTCTTTATGTTGAATCTTGTCAAAGTCTTATTTATTTCACACTCAAACAAACATACGCGCTTAACTCTAATATTAATCATTTCATTGTTCTTTCAGATCTTCACATTTTTCCCCATGAATTACACGAGTTGTTAGAGCAAGATCTCATATCCACACTCAAAACACAAATACACGCCGAAAACGTGCATGCGTATGCATAAACGTTGTTTGATGTTTCGTTTTTAATTGTTACATAGAGAACTAATAATGAGGGGAAATAAAACGATGTCTTCTTCTCCGATCCATCTGTGTTTATAGATCTAGAAATTGTTTTAGTTGAAAATGCATTTTCATACACAGACGCGCGTTCACGCGCTCAAATACACGAAGATCATTGGAAAATAGAACGATGTGCAAATATCGTTAAATAATTTCATGATTTAGTAAACGAAAAATCTACTAAGAAAATAATTCAATAACGTATGTGCGAATATGGAGTAAATAATGATATGCTTCATTTCTATTGAATAAAAATACGAGAATAAAACAACCATTTTGTGTGAACTAAGGGATTAACTACAAAATTTGTTATTTCATCATACCTTGTGCTTGCAAAGTCATGGAGCTTCCCACTGCTGGAGAAAATTACCAAACCAACCTCAGCATCACAAAGGATTGACAACTCCTTAGCCTTCTTAAGCAATCCATTCCTTCTCTTTGAGAAGGTGACTTGCCTGCTAGTCGAGTTATCGATCCTTCTAATGACGATCTTACCCCTCCCCATTTTTTGAGAAACCGTTGTTTCGATTCGCGTTTGATTATCTGCGGGATGAATCAAAATATGTTGATATCAGGGTGAGTTTGTTCGTGTCTTCTATTAAAATCGTTTGATAGTTGATTTTCAATCGAAGATGTGAGAACCATTTGTAGCAATCCACAAAAGAGGAAAGATGAAAAGAAATGAATTTAAATATAAGACTTACTAATTTTAGGGTTGAGTGAGAAGACTAATGGAAGAAAGGGTGGAGAGAGATGGGGACAATCTATTTTGGAACGATGCTTAGCAACTTTATATNGAATGCAATGAGAAGAAAAATATTTGGTAGTGGCCAACCGCCCCTAACTGTACGAATTAATACTTCAAAATTCATAATAAATAAAAAATAATTTTTTCTTATAATTATCTTACGATAGCATTTCGTTGTGGAAAGATTAAAACAAAAAAGAAAAAAATCACTTTTTGGGTTTTTAGAATTAATTTTATTTTTCTCTCTCCTCAAATCTCAAGTGTTGTTTTGGTTTTTAACTGAAGGCTAATTTAAAATTATATCTAAAATATGGATAAAGAAATAAATTACTATTAATTTTTAAAAATAAGTTAATATTAATACTTAATGAGAAAATTGAAAAAAAAGGACAACAATATGGAAACTAAATAGGACAAAATTATAGTTAAGAAATTTCCTTATCTTGTCATTTCAGAAAATAAATTAATTTATTGTAAATTTTTAAAAGTTTATTTTCCAAATCCATTAACTTATCAATCTATAATCACACCCGTTAATTTATATTTTCTAAATCAAATAAATTATAAATTAGATATAAATGAAATAATTGATTATAAATTTTTGGAAGCTTAATCTCAAATTATTGATATCAAAAATCATATATTTTGTACCTTCTCAAATAGTGATGCACAAATGCTTTTATATTACTATAACCATAGTTCAACCCTTTTCACGCTCTTTTTATATTATTTTATGCTAATTATATATATATATATATATTAATAATTTATGTATAGTCAATCATTATGGAAGTTTTTTTTTTCATCTTACATTGATATGGATATGTAAATATTAGCTAATTGGATATCGAAGAAAAAAATATTATTTATTTTGTATATAAAATTATATTGTCAGATGAAAAATTATTGAAAAAATTAATTTTGATGTCATTTAAAAAACCGAGTGGTAAATAAAAAAAAGTTATCAAATCTTTGTTTAAAGATATAGATATTCAATTTAAAAATAAAAAATAGCATTGATATTTAACTCAAGAAAATAAAAAATGTATTAATAATTTATGATATAAAATATTTTTTTAAAATAGTAATATATATATATATATACATATTCATATCTGAATATTTAATGCAAACATTTTATAAATAAAAATAATAATTTTTCTACTAATAATATGTAAAATGAGTGAAAATAATCCAGTTAAAATTGAATTGTTTTATTCTTTATCATGGATTTACAACAAATTAGAATGGCTCTTGAATTGTCACCATTCAAAATAAGATGCCGTTTTAGTCAAACGCCAGACCAACTTTTTTTTTTTTCCTTTCCGCGATATATCGTAATACGCATGTACACGGACCGAGAATATTTGTTTTAAAATTTCAAAGTCGGTAACCTTAAATTAATAATGCCCTTCCTCGTACACTCCAAAAGCTGTTCAAATGATCATAGAAATTTGGTGATGCTGTCTGGCGAATAAATAGGTGACACGTGGACCTCTAATTTTTTATTTTTTTTATTAAGATCCAATTATCAATAAAATAATCTTGAATATTATTCTTATTGAATTATTGGCCCTCCTCTTATAAGTCGGGTAGCCCCGTGGCCATGTCTACTTATATATACGTGGCCATTTCAGGGGCGAAATTCAGGTCGGTTGCAGGTCAGGCCGACGGGCCGACGGGCCGGGTAGGCTCGTGGCCATGTCTACTTGTATTTGACCAATTATTTTTTGGTAATTTTGAAAAAAAAAATGGCTTTATTGTTTAGGGAAATGTTTTGCAAATTGGCATTGAGTTGTCGAGTTGCAACTTGCAAGCTAATTGAAAAAAATTGGTATGTCCTATTTTTCAAGGCACCGAAGTCGAAAATATTAGTAAAATTTTCGATTATTTATCAATAGTTGTGTACAGGGTTGTCTCCAAAAATTTGGAGGCTCCAGACAAGTTTGTCTTTTTCGAATTTCTCAATTGGAACTTGCGTGATAATTAGAGTTATTTGCAGATAGAATCATAGAAGAAAAAAACTTAATTAAATAAGATTATTAAATAAATAAATAATTAAAAAAATATTTTTTTTTTCTAGACATTTGAATTGATAGATGAACTATGTGTTACAAAGATCTTTACTCAAGGAGAAGAAAATAAAAAACCATATCACTGCAAAGTATATTTATTCTAACAATTGTTCTGGCCGAACATCACAAGAAAACAAATGAAATATTTTGGGCCTTAAAACAAATACATAATATTGAAAAAAAAAATGAGGCCCCAAATATATGGAGGCCCTATGCTGCCTCTCCAAAGAGCTGGCCATAGTTGTGTACAACATTGATATTACACGAGTGTTAATTAAAAAGTTCTACTTAAATTTAAAATATAAATAAAACGAAATGTTTTTTATTTTTAAGTTTAAATTACTTCTTAAAATTTCTACAATAATTTATATTTCAAGATGACATCCTTGTAAGACTTATTCGTCCTACATTATAATATCTTTTCTAATTCATATTATCTAATGTACTTGACAAATAAATTTAATTAATTAATAAATATTTTAAGATGTTCTTTTAGTATCAATGCAAATTCATTTATTTTTTTTTTTTTATACGGAATATGGATATCGTGAAATATATCAATGATGATTACTTTAATATATCATATATGAAAATCTATTAACAAATATAAAATCAATAATATTAAAATATATTTGTAATTTTTGTTAGCCAAATGTTATACATAAATCCAGATCCATATGACTACTTGGAACACCATATTGGAATATAAGATTACAAAGCACCATATATTGAAACATATGACTTAAGTTGACATCTAATCTCAAAAATCTCTGCATACGATTATTTAATATTTAATCGTGAAAACTAAACATGAAAAATTCATTTATATAGAATTTAATATTATTAATTAAAATTGGACAAACTAAGAATGATGGATCTACTTCTAGATCTGAAGAGAACCGGTGGATTTGAGCTCAGATCTGCTTGAACCGCCTCTGAATCGTTGCTAGACCGCGAGAATACCTGCAAAAACTCAATGTCGGAGGTGTTTTCGGCGTAGAGCCTCCGACGCTCAAGTCAATATGAGAGTGATGAAGGGATGCTGCGCAGCAGCTATGAGAGTGTGGAATGAATGAGAGTTAGGGTTTAGGGTTACCTCATCTCCTTTATATAGGAGTGAATGCTTACTTGAAGTACCCGAAATGCCCAAGTCGGTGGACCTAAAAGGTCCAAAATGCCTCGGTCGGTTCGTCTCCTCTTGCTGCTGAGTCATCACAAGATTCCTTCTTATCCATTAATGGTCAAGAGCTTCCAAGAAATATACCAAGTGTAAGGAGTCGTCGGAATGCTTCTCGTCTCGAGGTACAAGGAGTCGACCTCGAGTATAAACGAGTCGACCCAGGAT